TGTTGAGCAGTTACAGGGCTATCTGTATCTATAAAATTCTCCATCCCACACTGCTGACACGGAATGACAAGTACGCTGCCCAGGCCGTACTTCTTCTCTTCAATGCAATCAATGAGCGCCAGAGGTTTGCCACATCCAGGATTTTGGCACGCAGACAATCCCACAGCCGGATACCTGAGATGAACGATTTGTCGACTGTGAAGAGGGGCACTGAACGACCTCTTCGCGGGAGTCGAATCCAGTGGCGTTGGTGGTGGAGATCGCCCTTTCCGTTTTTCAGGAACTCGATCGATCGTTTGAGCTTGCGAAGTGTCCCCCTCCTCGGCTTCTTGAATCGTCCAGTACGCAGAATGTGAGGCCGCGCCGTGGGTGACGGATTACTCTCCCGCGTCTTCATCTCCACGGCACGTCGGCAGGAGAACCAAGCTATTGAAAAACCGCCGATGTCAAAACAAATCCGCAAGTCAACTAGCGGCTGAGTTTCTTCCTCAAATCTTGTCTCGACTCGAGCACGCGCTGCGAGGTCATGGGCAAACTACCTACTCGATTGTGCATGGTCGCGTCCCATTTTTCCACTCCGAAAGGCTCTTTTTTTTCAAAAAAAATCCGGAAATCCAACATGGCGCTAACCGTCGCGAACCCCCTTAACTCCCCTGGACCAGATGACCCTAATCCGGGCGCATGCATCTACTAGGCAACTTTCCAACCCATCTAGAATCACGAAAACTGACTGTTTTCGAAGAAAGAAGTCCCCCAAACTATTGATTGGCATAATCGGATGGGAAAGTTGACAGACTTGCTTTCTGGGTTACTGGCAATTCCTAGTTACCATGGTTACGGATATCCTTGTCTGATGATTGGTTCAGCCATGAAACTCTGAGTCACAACGGAATTTGCCCCAGGTTTTCATTGTGTGCCTTTGTGTACGCCGCTCTGCCTGAACCAGGTATTGAGCACTTTCGCAGAACCGCTAATTGCCTCTGTAGATACAGATAGTGTTCGGTCCCAACCTGCCCGGATTAGGGGAGTGCTCGGTCCCAACCTACCCGGATCAGGGGAGTACTCGGTGCCAGCCTACCCGGATTAGGGGAGTACTCGGTGCCAGCCTACCCGGATTAGGGGAGTGCCCGGTGACAACCTACCCGGATCAGGAGAGTGCTCGGTGCCAGCCTACCCGGATTAGGGAAGTGTTCGGTGCCAGCCTGCCCGGATTAGGGGAGTGCTCGGTGCCAACCTGCCCGGATTAGGGGAGTGCTCGGTCCCAACCTGCCCGGATTAGGGGAGTGCTCGGTGCCAACCTGCCCGGTTTAGGGGAGTGCTCAGTGCCAACTTGCCCGGATTAGGGGAGTGCTCGGTCCCAACCTACCCGGATTAGGGGAGTGCTCGGTCCCAACCTACCCGGATTAGGGGAGTGCTCCGTGCCGACCTACCCGGATTAGGGGAGTACTCGGTGCCAACCTACCCGGATTAGGGGAGTGCTCGGTGCCAACCTACCCGGATTAGGGGAGTGCTTGGTCCCAACCTACCCGGATTAGGGGAGTGCTCGGTGCCAACCTGCCCGGATAGGGGAGTGCTCGGTCCTAACCTAACCGGATTAGGGGAGTGCTCGGTGCCAACCTACCCGGATTAGGGGAGTGTTCGGTCCCAACCTACCCGGATTAGGGGAGTGTTCGGTCCCAACCTGCCCGGATTAGGGGAGTGCTCGGTACCAATCAACCCGGATTAGGGGAGTGCTCGGTCCCAACCTACCCGGATTAGGGGAGTGTTCGGTCCCAACCTGCCCGGATTAGGGGAGTGCTCGGTACCAATCAACCCGGATTAGGGGAGTGCTCGGTCCCAACCTACCCGGATTAGGGGAGTGTTCGGTCCCAACCTGCCCGGATTAGGGGAGTGCTCGGTACCAATCAGCCCGGATTAGGGGAGTGCTCGGTCCCAACCTACCCGGATTAGGGGAGATTCACTGTAGTGTTAGAGAGCTGCATGTTATTTTGACACTAAACGACAGTTCCACTCGCGTTATTTGGCTCGGGTGCTGGAAAACAACGCGAGAGAGCTGTATCTCAAGTCGGAATGTGGCGTATTCTGCCAAAGTTCGACCCATTCGACTTGAAACTGCGCGTCACGTCAAAACTAGCTTGCGCAGCAATGCATAATCCGTGAATTATGAATGCATATTGCGTGTTTGTACTCTCTACTCTTCTGCAGGCAATGGACACAGTAAGAAATGCCGTGCTACGTACGGTATGGAACACCAGGACAGTTGGTGTGAGCCTTGTCGGTAAGTACAGTCCCGCTCAATGAAATAAGTCTAGTCACAGCGTCATTCGAGTCAGTCGCGTCACTCAAGTCAGTCGCAGCGTCACTCAAGTTTGCGCCTTGCATCATTTCGCAGCCCAGTGTTCGCAGTTCTAGGGCTGCGCAACGCCCGGCGCGTACTTGAGTGACGCGACTGGATATCGTTGAGCAACCCTGTACTACTGATACTCTGTGTGTGTGTGGGTGGGGGGGGGGGGGGGTGGGGGGGGGGGGGGGGGGCGCACGTGTGTGTGTGTATTCTTGAAAAGCCTTGCAAGTGGTTGGCTGGGGTAGTGGGTGTAGGGTGGGAGTGGGGTGTGTGTGGGAGTTTGAGGTGGTTGGGTCGGGAGTGGGGGTGGGGTGTGTGGGAGTGGGAGGTGGTTGGGTGGGGGTGAGGGGTGGGGGATGTGGGGTGGGGGGGGGGGGGGTGTGGGGGGGGGGTGTATGTTTGTGTGGTGGCTATGGGTGTGTGGTGGGTGTGAGTGGGTGGTAGGTGTGGAGTGGGTGGTAGGTGTGGAGTGGGTGTGAGTGTGGTGGGTGGGTGGTGGTATGTGTCGTGGGTTGATGGGTGTATGCATGCATGTGTGTGCATGTGTGTGCATGTGTGTTTGCTTGTGTACTTGTTTGTGTGTTGTTTGGTTGACAGCATGTCACAAGGCGGAGGACGCACTGTGTTCGGAAACAGTCACGCTCCTGACTACAACCTCCACAGTTGGCAGAGCCCCGGTCTTACGACTATTTGAACCGTGTGGAGGATAGCCCTGCTTGCACAACTCCCTAGTATAATGAGGGTCACAACCATGACTATCCTCTATGCCGTTCAAATAGTCGTAAGACAAGACCTGGGCTCTGCCAACTGTGGAGGTTGTAGTCAGGAGCACTGTTTCCGAACACAGTGCGTCCTCCGCCTTGTAACATGCTCTCAACCAAGCAACGTGTTTTCAAAACAAGGCTTATCTAATGTATTGTATTTTATTATTAATTTTTACTTGGGCATTCCCAACAGACCCTAAGGTCTTCTTACAGGGCGCCCAAGATGAATGAATTTGTTAAGTTCCTGGCGAAATGAATTGGGGATATGATTTGTGCGAAGGGATTCGGGAAGCGCATTAAAGCGGCCAGCACCAAGGAATGAAATAGATCTGTATCCAGCTTGAGCTTGCACAATGGGTAAAGAAAGGGAATAATTGACCCTGGCCACGGTGACTCTATCTGTGTGAGCGCAGTCACGGCGAAGGGAGAACAAGTCAGAGAGGAGTGAACTGCAGATATTGTGGATGCAACGGATGTGTGTGTGTGTGTGCGTGCGTGCGTATGTTTGTGTTTGTGTACGCCATTTCCCCGATTATAAGTCACATCTCCATTTTCAGGTCTGAGCCAAATTGTTTCAATACATTGACATGCTAGTGGTAGTGAGTGGGAAGTCACACTCGCTTGTAAGTTGCACTCCCTCCTTTGGCCGTGGAGTTTAGTGTAACAAACGTGTAAGACTTACAAATACGGGCAAATACTTACAAATACGGGCAAATACTTACAAATACGGGCAAATACTTACAAATACGGGCAAATACTTACAAATACGGGCAAATACTTACAAATACGGGCAAATACTTACAAATACGGGCAAATGCGGTATGTGTCTGACTGTGTCTTTGTGTTGTTTGTATGCACGGGAACAGACGCAAGAAGAAGTGCATCAAATTTCTCGCCGACAATCAGTCTGCCATGGCTGCAGAGAATAGTGGTGATGAAGACGAAGACCATGAAGACGCTCCTCGCCAGAAATTTCCTAACAAGGATTTATACGAGATCAGCGAGGAGGATGAGGAAGACAATGATGAGGAGGAGGAGGAGGAGGCGGAAGAAGAGGAGGATGAAGAGGAAGAAGAGGATATTGTAGAGGAAGACGAGGACGATTTACCTCCGCAAGCCAAGAGAATAACGCAGCAGCCCAGCCAGGGGCAGCAGCAGCAACAGCAGCAGCCCAGCCACCAGCCCAGCCAAGGGCAGCAGCAGCAACAGCAACCCAGCCACCAGCCCAGCCAGGGGCAACAGCAGCAACAGCAACAGCAGCAGCAGTCTCCACAGGGCAGGGCAAGGGCTAGCCAGGGGCAGCAGCAGCAACAGCAGCAGCCCAGCCACCAGCCCAGCCAAGGGCAGCAGCAGCAACAGCAACCCAGCCACCAGCCCAGCCAGGGGCAACAGCAGCAACAGCAGCAACAGCAACAGCAGTCTCCACAGGGCAGGGCAAGGGCTGTAGGCACGTCGGATTGTCCATTGGGCTTTCCAGACGTTGCCAGCCTTAGCAAGCAAACTGACCAAGCTACCCATACTCACCAGCTACCCTCGCCGCCTAGCAATCCCTTTGTCTCTTGTTCTACTGGTGGTGGTGGTGGTGGTGGGTGTGGTGGTGGTGGTGGTGGTGGTGGTGGTGGTGGTGGTGGTGGTGGTGGTGGTGGTGGTGGTGGTGGTGGTAGCGGTGTTGTGGGGAGTGGCGACGTTTGCTGCGGTGGTGGTGGTGGTGGCGGTGGAAATAGTGCCACTAGCCTCGCGAAGTTCTCTCACGGTGGTGGAGGCTTTAGCGGCAATGTGACTCTTAGTCGCCCGAGATTGCCCCGCTCTCCTCCGCCACACGCTACATGTCCTGCTCCCTCTGCTGCTGCCACTGCCGCAGCACGCCTGGCAGAGCATGCAGCTGCATGTGCCGATGATGCTGACATGCTAGTCTGTCACGTGACCAGTCCCATGGCTGCTGGTGGCAGTGGCCGCGGCGCCGGTAGCACCAGGGCGTTGCTAAGCAACAAGTCGCGTGCCTGTGCGGCGGTCGCTAACGCCGGTGCATGTGAGCCAGACGTGGGTGGTTACCATGGCTACAGTGTATCCAACAAGAGTGGTGGCAGCGTGCCCATGGATGTAGTCACAGCTGATGATGGTCATGCTGCCCGTGACCATGATGATGATGATGATGATGATGATGATGATGATGATGGCTGCTATGATGGCGGTGGTGGCGAAAACGATTGTGTGAGAAGCCCTCTGAAGTGTCGCAGTGTAACCAGCCATCGAAAGTCGAACAGCTCCCATAGTTCCCATAGCAGTGGCAGCAGCAGCGGCAGCCGACGTAGCGGCAGTGGAAGTAGCCGGAGCGGCGTCAGCAGCAGCAGTTTCGGAAGCCGTCATCGCTGTCCAAGCGAGTCGAGCGGCAGAAGCAGCAGTGTCTTCAGCAGTCGTGCTCGCACCGCCACTAGCAGTAGCAATAGTGTCTTCAGCAGCCGCAGCCGTAGCAGCATCAGCAGCAGCAGTCTGAGCAGCCGCAGCCAGCAGCAGCTGCACCGTCACAGGAACCCACACAGGAGCATGAGCAGCAGTGGCAGCAGCAGCTTGGAGCCAGCGGACATGACGACGACAACCACCACCAGCACCACCAGTACATACGTCACTTCCGACGACAGTGACAACACACTGACACAGCTGAAAGGTCAAGATGGCGGCAGCAGCTGCAATGGATCACGTGACGACTTGACGTCGTCTATGTCAAGTCGATAACATGTGTCATGACAATCGCAAATCAGAGTTCAGCGTGAATAGCCGGATCGGCAGCCGCAGTAGCAGCAGCAGCTCCAGTAGCAGCATCAGCCCCAGTAACAGCATCAGCCCAAGTAGCAGACCCAGATGCAGTAGCAGCATGAGCCCCAGTAGCAGCATCAGCCCCAGTAACAGCATCAGCCCCAGTAGCAGACCCAGATGCAGTAACAGCATCATCCCCAGTAACAGCAGACTCAGTAATAGCAGTGTCATGACAACCGCCAATCAGAGTTCAGCTCCGCAAGAGCAGCATGTAGTGCGCGTAACAGTAGCTAGCCATCCGCTAGAAAGTCCCATTTGCTTGCCGGAGCTCTTTCGTATATATATGATGTCATTATGACGTCATAATATACAAGAGCATCATGTATGACTGTGTAGCTTTCCATTGTTATCAACGGGCCGGTCCGGTGTGTGTTGCATGATGTAAGTAGTAGAACCTGTTGCGATGCTCAGGGCAAGTACCAGGTATTCCTGTGTTGGTGAAATCTGTTCCAATGTTGCCAAATGCCAACTATTTCCGTGTGTGATGTATGTGTGATGTACGTTGGTGAAACTGAAATTTCCAAAAAAGTAGTTTCCCCGTCGACGTGTCCTACAAAAATGGTTGCCAACAAGAAGACCGACTGAATCTGAAACCGAACCAAACTATCACATTTACAGGCATAAGGCTGACTCTCATGCCAACCTTTATAATTCTAAAATTTCAAATTCCCGTCTCTTGTTCTCGAAAACTGACAAATACAATGCCGTAGCAGCTGGTCTAGACACGAAGTTGAGATCATTTCATGATAGATATCTCCCGTCTTATTTCCCGATTCTCCATATCCGCTTTATCATTCTTTTTTTTCGCTCCTACAAAAATCTAACCGGTATTGGACTAACAATTTAAAATTTTTGATCGAATTTTGTATGAATTTCCCGTTACCCGTATGTGGTGTGCAACTGTTATGATCATAAATTTACCCTTTTGGGATTGCTGTTTTTGTTGTGGAAAACTTTGAAATAAAAATATTGCTGCGGTGGTGCAGATAATAATTATAAGCAGTCGGAAGTCGTGCAGTGTGTACAGCTGCAACTGAGCTGCAGCTGTGCAGAAAAGAGGCATGCTGGACGCTTGCTAGTAAGCACATCACTGAAATGATGTAATCCCGGACCCACCAGAGCTGCACACATCACTGAAATGATGTAATCCCGGACCCACCAGAGCTGCACACTCCCGGTTTCATGTACTCTTGGATTGGCTTACGGGAGCCAAGTATACGGTGAGTCGGTGGTTTTGCTCCAGCTACAAAGTACAATACATCGCCCTGTGCCACGACTTTGTCAAGGCATTGTATGTTGATGTCATCGCATAAGCTATAACTATAGTTACTATACTCAATCTGTGGACAGAATTGTTCCGTCCTTTGTGGACTCATCAGCGCTGCACAGAGAAGATGAGGCCGAGCCTGATAGCAAAGCTATGCTATAGTAGCTAACTAATTACTTATGCAAACACGTGTGTGCACGCACACTCACGCATGACTGCACATGCATGTACGTACTCAGTGAGCTTGTCGACCCTGGTTGGTTCACTCCTTTGGACGCGTGCAGCACTGCAGCCGTGTGTTTGTCATGTCAAGTGTCGTGACTGTCACCGTGTGGACAGCCAATCAACAACCTTTGCCTGTACTCTGTAGCGAGCATGCATGCAGTACCCGGCGTGACACCACACACACACACACACACACACACACACACACACACACACACACACACACACACACACACACACACACACACACACACACACTAACACACACGCACGCACACATGCGCGCGCGTGCGCACGAGCCGGATCAAATGTTCACGGGGCCCTCCCTATGCAATACTTCAAGAGAATTTTGGTTCGTATTACGAACAGCATGTAGGAGGGTTGAAGAGATGAACAGCATGTAGGAGGGTTGAAGAGATGGCGAAGCTATGTATGATCCAACCTGCAGATCATCATCATCATCATCCGTAGCAGCAGCAGCATAATAAGAGAGATAGAGAGACATGGTGGTTACAACGAGTTCAACAACAGCAGCAACAAACAAACAACAGCAGCAACAAACAAACAACAGCAGCAACAAACAAACAAGCAACATAAAATGAAGGCAAAGAAACAAAACGCGTCCGCAACTTGAAAGACAGAAGCAGACGAGCGAAGAGCAGTATCATTAGTGTTAATAAAAGCGGTGACTCAGCAATGGCATGTTCACAACTGATGAGTGGCGGGGGGGGGGGGGGGGTATTACAGTACAAGCATTCCAGGGCAATGACCGACATGAGGCGGAAGACATACAAGATAAACACTAGATCAATCAGTTCATTGCCGCAGGGAACAAAACCGGTCACAGATACTGTCATTGTAAAACAGACCCGGGGGGGGGGGGGGGTATGGCAGGCCGGTGAGCAACACCACGGCTACCAAGCAAGGCCGATGAGTACAGAGCACATTTAACACAAGCGTCCAATCTTAGCCTGAACGAAAACACTGAGTGCCAACATCATCTAGTTGCCCAGGCTACAATTCGAAGGTTACCATGACAACTATGTACAGGGGATCTGAGAAGGGCTATATAACCGGCTAAGAAACCTTCGTACCACAGAAGGTCAGCAGTGAGCTACTAAGTACTAGCGCCGTGGAGAAATCTCTCGTCGACAGCTAGGGCGAACGGGTGATGCGAGAAAGGGTATTGAAATGGGAGCGGCGACAATGGTGTGCCTCTTTCCTTCCATTCTGCTTGTTTTCTCACACGCACACACACACACACAGTGGAAAGAGACACAGCAGTCCAACATCGCCAGGGCAGCATGAACCATGCAATATACAGCGGTCGTGCGTTCATTCTCTCCACTAAGCCTCCCGTAGCTGCGCAAGTCTGCAGTTCACAAATAAATAAAAATAAATAAATAAATTCGACGGGTTACCGGGCAGGTCAAGAACAAGGAGTCGTACAACTCCCTGGTCAAGAACCACCTTTCCGCTTCCGTGGGACGCCACCACCCCATGATCATGGCAGTTCACAAGAACATACATGAAACACACGTAATGAACATTGATCACATGAAACACATACACATACACATCACCGTATCACCGTATCCTGTACAGAACTTTTGAAAATGACATCATCGTGATGTCGCTGTAGCTAAATCCGTGCTAGGAATCACAGTCATTTGGGTGATTTATTTGGCCAGCAGCAGCTTCAAGCCCTGGATGAGCAGTGTTTGCACACCGTATGGCCCGGGTTCCGTACACAACGTTATAATGTAGCAAAAGAAGGATCCGCGAGATGGGTATTCAAACCCAGCACCCCGGTCTTTCCGGGACAGCGCCCTACCGGGGATCACACACTTTCGTGGATCCTTCTTGCCACAATAACAGCCGGCATCACTAGCAGCAACTCCAGGAAGAACCAGCACACCAGCTACAACAGCAACCACACCAATGTTTACCTTCTAGACAGCTGATCTTCTTCGTTCTGTGTGAGTGTGTCTGAAGCAGCTGGAGCGATCTCACCCTGCCGTGGTGCCTTGGCGGAGCCCAGCTGCCCGATTATGTCTAGACCGCTCTCTTCAGCTACTTCCTGCATCAGCGATTCAACCTACCGCAGAGAAGATAAGACAAATAAGAAAACAAGCCCCTTCAATTTACCGAGGTAGAGATGATAAGATGCTTGTACACTCAGACCCAGACGTCAGACATGCCCCATCGCGGAAGCGATGAGAGCGAACAGCTATGTTAGACATAGCAACTATATGCAGGGATGAATTTACTGTCACGTTCTTGCATAGCAGTTTTTGCCATGCAAAATCTCAATTGTGGCGTAAGCTACAAAAAACATGGATAGCCTGTACATGTATGTGTATGGCAGTTTTCTGCATGTCACTGTCATTTGAGTAGCAGTAGATCGATTTTGCGTACCAAACTGCGATGCGATACCGGATAAATTCATCCCTGTATATGTACTATATGTACACAGACACTCATACACACACACACACACACTCATACTCCTGGCCATAGCTGAAGCAATGATAGCAATGATAGCAATGATAGCCAACAAGCTATGTTAACTGTTAGATATAGCTG